GCGGCCATTGCCACACATCACACATCGGTTAATAATGTATATTTCATTTGCTACAACTCAGTTAAAAGAATAAATAACACGGTACACTCAAGTAAAGTTGTAAGCCATTCGGCCTTTTCGGCGCCACAATACGACGGCGCAGCTGACGCGAGCAATGCGAGCGGCGCGCGCTACTTTACGTCATTGTCACCTACCACTGACGTCCGCCAGCCGTTGACATATTTGTTCAAAGTGTGCCAATAAGCTGACATACAGTTCCTAGATTTATTGCCGCAAATGCTAAGAACAAACATAGGCGGTGGCATGATGAAACGAGCGTCAGCCGGAGAGCGAACAGGATCTCTACGGAAAAAAACGACAATATGTTTAAATATTAATGTATTTACAAAGTATATATTAAATGTCACATACATACAATGTATATATTAAATACGTCGTAGTAAGGACAAATGAATTAATATTAGGACTGTGTAATTGTCTTATTATGTTTAGCAAGTTGGTGGCGTCGACGTGTGCGGCCCGCGCCCCTCGCCCCGCGACCCGCGCCCTTCGCCTCGTTTTACACTCTCGTTAATACTGTAACTAATACGTATAAGTAAAAATCACTTTTTTGTATGGGATTTAGTCAGGATTTAGTTAGATAACTATGTTGTTGTTTTATTCAATATTTATATTTGGGTTTTATATGTACATACGCCACCGAACTGTATGTATATTGATGTGTTCAATTGACATTAAATCGCATTATAAATCTAAACGCATTGTATAAATGTACAGATATTTAATATATATGTATGTCGTCAGATTTACAAGTGAATTTCAATGCGCCAGGATACCGATGCTACACAGTTTCAATAAACTTTGAATTAGAATAAGTATTTAGTTGGAGTTGCGTAGTTTAGTTCTCGCAAAGAAAGTATGTACATAAAGCTTTCTTATAAATACAAACATACAATTTGACCTAAGCCGAGAGCAACGGCGCGGGCGCCGTGTTCCCTTTCCGACGACATGACAATGACGGCCGAAATATTCAACAGCTATTATAACTCATGAGATACTGGTACGTGCGCGGCTTAGAGAGAGCCAGCGCGGAGCGGCTCTACGTGACACGCCGCACGCGCTTCCACTCCAAAGGCACGACAGTTTTTTTTATATACAGATAAGGCTCTGAGCAACTGCTGTCACTGCCTTCTCGAGTTTTTGCTTACCCTATCTTTTCACTTAATGGCTGATAAAGTTCTGAAGCATTGATGGGGCATGCGTTATTTTTAAAAACGATGTTGCTACTAGTTTGTCACTATGTATCTATCTATAGCGGTTACTTCCAAGTGTTTTTGAATACTTACCAACTATGTTCAATTAATTTACATAAATTATTAAATTGTTTTTATTTCATTCTCATTAATTTGTTTTTGTATTGGCAACATTTAAATTAGTACAATTTTTTCCTATGCTGGCAACAATTATTCTTTGGATATGCATAAGTGTTTGCTACCATAACGCACGCTATTTTTTCTAATATTAATTATTTTAAGTAACTATTCAATAAATATAATAGTTAAAACAACCACGCTCGTTTAATTCAGAATAGTGTTACGTAGCGTTTTGATCGCGATAGATTTCGCTTCACGCACAGTTTGCTATTTATTGAAATAATTTTATTAAGTTTAAAGTTTTGCGAAGGTCATTGTGATGTACAATCCTTTATCTTTTGTGCTATGTGCAAACTGAATCAATTAGATTGCGTTCCACTGTTAGTCATAGCTGAAGTGTGTTCCCAGTGTTCCTGGTAGATGAGATCGTGGGGCGATGAGTGGTGACTCAGCTGTGAGCTCTCTCGTCTCCCGGTAGCTCATTACCGCTGTGTCATTGCGGTGCACCATGCTCCGCTCGTAACAGCGTGCAGTAATTCGCGGGCCTCAATTGATCGTTTGTCTCACCAATCATCGCGTGCCTCGAACACGTAATAAAATTCGTAGAGAACGTATTACATTCTGTATATGGTAGCGTGGTGGAGATTCTCGAAATTTTGTTTTGGACATTAACATGCCGCTTGAGTCAGTGTCGGGTAAACCCGCGCAAAGCCGAAGCTTTTAAAGAAGCGTACTAAATGTACAGCTTGCCATCATTTAATAATATGTTTTTAGAACGTGCAAAATATGTTAACATATGCCCTGATTTCATACGTACATATGTATGTTGCAGCCAGTCAATATCATTTATGTAACAGGCAACCTCCCCTCCGTTGCTGTCTGCTGCTACTGTCGATTTTTTCGAAACATTACAGTTTCGCCGAAAAAAGCGGTATAGCCATTGTTGGTAACTTTGACCTTAAATATTTTTGTTACAAATGCGGAATCATTTTTGTTTGCGGGGACTTTTACTTACTTACTCCGCTGGCGCATCTACCCAAAGTGAGTCTTGGCCTCCGACACAAGAGATCGCTAAAGTCGCCTGTCTTGCGCCTTCTCCTGCCAGTCCATCGCTTGTAGCTCTCGCAGATCCAACTCTACGGCGTCTCGCCGGCGGTACCTGGGCCAACCGATGGGTCGGCGGTCAGTCGAGGTCAGAGATATGCTGCTTTGGCCTTTCGATCTTCCCCCATCTTTTGACGTTTCACAAATAACGATGTTCCAAACATTCCTAACAATTTTCAGCTGTATTATTATAGCTTCAATATTTAATTTAACCGTATCAGTTATACATGACGCATATTGTGGTGAACCGCAAAATGATGGTTATATATAATATTTAAATGACACCATGGTTGTCCTCTATTTTCTTTTATAGATTTGTCGACGTGCATCAAATCAGTGCACAAAAAACATTGTACATTGACGGAGGAGGAAGCCACATTTATACGTTAAATAAACATAAAAAAGTGCTATAAACAGCGACGTTGGCGGTCGGAAAAATAATTTTCTCTGCATTAGTCAGTGCGCTGTGACTCAGGGGGTCGGATAATTTTCTGCCGCTAATAATATAATACATATTGTATATAGTGTAATCCTATACATCTTTTACTAACAGACAACTTTATTAATGACTCACGTGGACATCTTTGAGGGGTAAGTGGAACAAGGCTTTGTAGAGTCAATCTAAGTTATATTTTTAATATTTGCAGAGTGTAAATAGAGCATGAATCAGAAAACTCTAGTGAAAGCTCGGTCACTATATTCAATAAAAGGATCTGCCTTTTAATTCTCAAATATTTGCATCACCAAAGTTGTACCGAGAATCGAACCGGAAACGCCAAATTTTTGATTCACTCGAACAGGGAACAGGAGTTGAACGGGCGCTGACATATGGAGTAGGCAGTACCAAACGATACGAATTTATCTTTTAGTATTAAAAAGCCAACTTGCATCGATCTCAAGTTAAGCATAAGTAAGTCGTGATAAGACCCACATGTGCTACAATGCCCTGTTCGGAAGAATATCTCGGCAGTTTTATTTTTATACGAATAATATGCCATTACGATACTAGAGATGAGATGAGTATTCGAGTTACCTGCTCTTTTACCTAATATTATATCTGAATTTCCAATTTTCAATCCAAAATTAGGTAGACATAGTCTTCTACGGTTGTAATGCCTATTAGCTTACCGTGGTTTTGTGTAACCTGCTTGCTTACTAAGTATGGTGCGTGTTATGTGTTCATGGTTTAGTGCTACGTGGTTACATAGACTGGGATTACGTGGCGGAAATTAATTAGTACGCTATGGCAGGTGGCAACCGTGAGCGATGACGCGGCCGCGCCGACGTCCAGCGGTCTGGCAAGACACCACGTTGATGAAGATGACGTGTCGCCTTCATATCCATGACACTACACACACCAATCTATACTCTTATTGTTATAGAATATAATTTATATTATGATTGCACAATGTATTGACTTTTAGATGATATAATGGTGGGTTTATTCCTTTTCAACAGATTAAATATTGTGAAACTGAAGTCTGTCTATCTAGTCAGATCTCATTACAAATACATTTTAATTTGTACATTTTGAATGCGGGCTACATTTTCGTGGCCTCACTTTCGGTTATTGAGCTGGGGATCTACAGACAATATTTAATTATTTTTTTACGTTTTAAAAGCTACCGCTTGACCACGATCCCACCTGGTGAAGTGGAGATTTGGCCGAAAGATGGTACGCGCTAGCTTAGTAAGTGCCTATTCACTCTACTTTTAAAGGTCTTAATATCAAATTTAATTTGATGTAATTAATACTCAATTTATAGTCAGCTCACTTTCTCCGAGACTAATTGCGGGTTTCTGCGACCAAAATCTCCGTTTCAAACATAATGTTATCTCTGTATTGGCAAAGATAATGACAGGGATAGCAATATGGTTTATACAGAAGTTTTCATCTCAGAAACCAATGGTGAATCGCTATTTAAATAAAATTGATGACTGACCGATGTATTTTATTTTGTTGTTCGCAACAAATCGTTCTTTATAATTCTTTTTTAAAATAAAGTTCAAGTTAGAATTTTATAACATAATTTCAGTAGAACAAAAAAATGATAATTGTATGGAAATGCCGACTGGTAAGCGGCACGCGAGGAGATTCCGTGTGGATGACGAGGTGGGGCGGGGAGGGGGCGAGGGGGGGGGCGAGCACGCGCGGCTCGCGCGGGAAATCCGCGGGTTTCGCGCCAACACACCGGCGCCGCCGCCACCGCCCGCAGCCCGCCGCCCGCAGACAACCTGACACACTCGCAGGTGACACAGATTGAGAAAAATCATAGAAACTTACGCGTGGTCAGTGCCGGCGTGACGTACTTACATCACATACAGGTGTTGTGCAATATCATACAAACGGAATAACTACAGACGCAAACAGAAAACAACAAATTCCACATTACTAAACCAAATATACTAAACCATGTTGCGGGAAACACAGAAACAATAGCTTATGATAGAACTGCATACAGTATATTTGCACACCTATTTTTGCTTACAAATAATAATAAAACAATTGATTTTGTATAATTAGGAAGTATAATTGTATCACTTACATAGTATGATATATTTATTAAAAGTTATAGATACAGTAACATGTTAATCTCATGGCTTCATCTCTTAACATTTAAAGCTTTAATATATTTGTGCGCTTACGTAATTTACTTACTTATGATAGTATAATTTAAAATCTCTCCTACATTTTTTGATCTTTAGCCCTTTATAAAATTATCCACAACATATTTTAGATTTTTCTACGTAATTTGTGCGTTCTCTATACTAAAGTAAATATGAGACAAGTATTGGGGTGTTGGCGGAGTAAAGTTGATACTGTTCTAATATGGGATGGATGATTAATTGTTTCTCAGATAAGGGTAGCAATAGATGTGACAGTAGTAGAGAGAGAGAGGGGGGTGTCAAGGGGCGCAGGTGAAGAGCTCGTACTCGCGCACGGTGAAGTTGTAGTCCGGCGCGAGGGAGGCGGGGGGCGCGGTGGGGGCGGCGGGCGCGGCGTCGCCGTACGAGTGCAGGTTGCTGTAGCTGTCGCTGTTGGCGTTGCACTGGTGCGACACCAGCAGGTCCGCGCCCGCGCCGAAGATCGGCCCGCAGCTGCCGACACGCACGGACACGTTACATGACAATTGTGTGAAAGTGATGTGTCAGCCGGTTGCGAGCTAGGGCGTACTGACTCGGGGTGGTGGCAGAGCGCGAAGGGTTTCTTGAGGAGGGGGTAGCGCGCGGGGGGCTCGGCGAGGGAGAAGAGCATCGCGCGTTCGGCGGACACGTAGCCCCCCGCGCCCCCCGCCGCCCAGCCCGCCTCGCAGTAGCCGCCGATCACCTCGCCGCGCTGCAGCTGCACCAGCAGCAGCACGGGCGCCACGCCGTCGCAGTGCGCGTGGAAGGCGTGCGCCGAGAATGCGTGCGCGGAGGCGCGGAACACCAGCCGCCACGACTGCTTCGGGCTGCCACACCTGCACATACATATATATATATACACCGCTTCAACTACGGTGACATTGTCTATTACGATGGCTGTGAAATTTTTAGAATGCGTATATCGTAAGTATGTCACATGGTAGCGATAAAACTGACCAGGTGTTGATGAGGGACTGGAAGGCGCTCTTGTCCTGCTGCAGGATAGCCGAGCCCGCGAACAGGTTCACCGCCAACCTGCGACACGGAGCACGAGTCGCGTTATACAAGTGTACGTGCGGCAACACACGCACTCAGAGGAGGGCGAGGTAACCTGGGCTGCGTGCGCTTGTCGGGGTCGGGGCGAGGCGCGGGGCGGGGCGCGGAGTGCAGTGCGGCGCGCCGGTACCGCTCCAGCGACAGCTCCATAGGCACCGCGCCCGTCGGCTCCACCTCTTCCGCGAACACCGCGCTGTCTGCAAATACACCCCGTCAGCAGTCAGCAGTCAATGGTCAACAAACACAGTGAAGCGGCCGTGGAGCAGCAAGTGGGGGTGGCGGTGGCGGTGGCAAGCTAGGTACCGATGAGGAGCAGGCGCACGTGCTGCATGAGCGGCGCCAGGTGGTGGCAGACGCGTGCGCGCTCCTCCTCCGCCCAGTGCGCGGTGGGCTGAGTGACGCCGGCGCGCTGCTTGGCCCACGCCAGCACGCACCGCCACACCTCCTCCTCCTCCAGGCACAACTGCACACAATAATCGAATGATTTACACCTGTTTGAACAACAATTTTTTTATGTATTAAACTTGTTTTTTACAAGCGCCTTCGCAATTATTCGAGCAATCTTTAAGTGTTGAACCAAAAGAACCATAAAATCAAAAGTTCCTTTTCTGTCGCCTTATTCGATCTAACCAAATGCTAATCATACTTTAAACCGTGGAATCACAGTTAATTGATGACAACATACAAAGTCAGAGGAGATGAGTTTGATGAGCGCCTCCTTGGGCAGGTTGAGGAAGGCGTTGGTCTTGACGCACTCCGGTGCGTTGTCGCCGATGAACGCGATGCACCGCTCCATGAACGAGGACGCACTCTTACCACCTGGAACAGACAACACCACTAAAGCACACAATTTTTTGTTTTATTAAAGCTTTTTATAGAAAAATGGGCAAACTAAAAGAGATCTATGCTAGATCTAGGGTCTGCATAGTGTGTGAAAATCTTTCTTATTCCAAACGAGACGCTTAACACTGCATGGTCATAAGTATGGTCCTGTTGATGATAAACTTTCTCATATTACTTGTCTTACATACTTGTTGATAATATCACCAAATTATTGCTCTGTAGTTTATAATAGCCCTGTTTATTATTTATACTTATATAACAACAAAGTAGAGTTTGTATTTATATAAGGTGTTAAAAAAAATTATTATTATTTTCATCGTACAACTATTATTGTGAATAAGACTACTGTTGTCATTTAATTACCCATGCGAATGTCATCTATTTTAAACATATATTTTTTACTAAAGTTGTTGCCATTCTGTGGCTTATCACCTTTTTAGGATTATACAAACTTCTTGACTACCAAGGAGATACTTTGAACTACATTCAACTAAGTTGTGCATAAGCACATTCATAAGTTTAGCAAATTATTTTATAGATTATGATGTTATTTTGATACAACATGTTGCAAATACTTAGTGTCCAATAAAATAAGTTGTATACTATCATATTTATCAATAAATGTAAAATGGTGACAACTCTTAACAACAAAAAAGAACATACCGTGGCTTTGTTGTGAAACCACCCACCCCAACCCAAGGACTTTGCTTAAGGTCTCTCTCCAATATGTATCATACAAACCCAATAGATTAGGGAAAACCAGAAGATGTGGCAGCCATCTCGATACTGTATAAATTAACGACAATAATTGATTGACTTAATGTTAAATCAATTTTAGTAAATTGAAAAATATCAAATCAATCAATCAATTAAAAAAAATAACATTAACTCATAAACTTTTTGTTCTCCATAGCAGCCAGCAGTTGTTGTGGCCAATATGATATAACAATCAATATCAGGTAATGTACATTTTCACAGAGAAGCTCCGGAGCGCACCATGTTAGGGATGACCAGTAAACTATGATATTGATACCAACTTTTTGATATGTAAAAGTTTTGAAATTTTCATCAATTACCTTAACCAATTACCAAATTTATCAGAAAACTACAAAACATATAGATTCAAAAGCAACTTGAAAATATACAAACATAATCGAATTTCTTTTATAAGTTTGGACTAGCTATCGAACAGTAATATTAGTTATTATTTAGAATTGTTAGGTAAAACAAATGAAAGACGAATTGCAAAACTTAGTTTTAATGAGGGAACCTGCAGTGGTCAGAACTCACATATAAATACCACTTAGGTACACAATTTCCATACAATTCACTTATTGTCTAGGAATGTTCACTTAGTTGGTAAAATAACCTATACTTGTGCTCACACAGACGCATTAGGATTCACATTCTGAATTAACGTAATATTGTCTCCTTTCATCATTATTCTTCCGATTTGTTTCCTATTTTTCGTCTTCATATGAACTTCTTCGGCGTCGTCCAAAACTATGTTCATATATTCATCAAATCCCACGATGTGCCCTTCAATTCTCAAATTTACGTTTTCGTATAACCAGATTTGGACCCGGCTTCTGTTTTGTAAGTATCTAAATATGAGGTTGATGGGTTGCACCATAACCTTTTGTACTTTCGGTGGACCCTTGTATGCCATTTCAATTTCTTTATTTGCACAAAATGTTTAATTTACACAACTAAAATAAGCCGCTAAAAACCTTTAGCGTCCGCCAAAAATGGAAGCCGATTGGCATAGACAAAAAAAGCTATTGTCTTTGAGTCATAGATTATCACTCGGTAACAGGTTAGAATAACAATGTTGTATATTCTTTAATGTCAACTATGACTGATTTCCGAAATACATTATTAATAATTTGCATTTTTAATACAATAAACTTTTCTTCTAACGGTTAGTTTGTTACAAAACATACTTGTATGGTGCACCTTTTAGGAATAATTAGAAAGATTTGTCGTGATGACAAAGGTTTTCCTTTTAACTTGATAAGTCTATAAAGGTTACACGTAATCTGTCAATGTTGAATTGTCAAATATCAATGTCAAATTCACAAATTGTCAAATCAAACAACAACAATGTCCGAAGAGGATGAAACTTGTTCTGCTGATAGAAAAAATAAAGATTTGCGAATGTTTCCAAGTTGTTCAAGTTTTGAACTATCAGATCCTCATGATCCTGTTCTAAGCCGCTTAGCAACGCAAATGTTTAAACGCACAAATGACTATCTACAAGGAGAAATGACTGCTGGACAGGAACATTATGTTCTCTTAGAAGAGATTAACAGATTGGTGATCACTAAATATGCAGATCTTCGGTCCCTGGCTGTTAATCTCACAAAATCAATCAATGAGAGTAACGAAAAATATGAAACTGAAATAAAGCCATTACTGCAGCACATTGAAGACATAGACAATGAAATGTCTGTACTTGAGGCCACAGCTTTTCGTTTGGACAGCTACACTAAACAACTTTTGGCGCGTTTTGTGGAACTTTTGGACATTGATGATAAGAGCAATGACAAGTAATTTTTGCCTTTATGTACTTATTAAATCTTTTAGTACAACTTTTTATTTATGTATACTATAAGAATATTGTACAACTTTATATTTGGAACTTTAATTAATCATTTGTGAATCAATTTTTAATGTTGTGTAAAATACTTGTTTTTATTTAATTTGTTTTGACATTTGTGTAACTATTATAAAATAATTTTGAATGGTTAACATTTATGTGGAAACTTATAAGTTTCAATCCGTTGGGGATCTTTGTTCAGGGAGAGTGCTGATATGACAGCATTGTCGCTTGACCACTTGAATTCAATTATTTATGAATGTGGTAATTGCCATTGGTGATGTCACCATAGATTTGGATATGAATGTTAGCCATTTTTAATTTTTTAATGATATTTATAAGAATACAACTTAATAGCTTGCTGGCTTAATAATAATTTTAGTATCAAAACAACCATTTTTATGAATTTTAAACTGTAATAACAAATCGTCAACCTTATCATTTAACTAAGTGATGTTTAAATGTTCTTTAAATGTAGCAAGAGCATGTGTTTGTGCAATTAAATGTTTTAAGCAAATTTATATTGAAGTTACAATAAAAGATGCTTTATATGTTGTCTGTACTTTAACTGTTGGAAAACATTATTTTATTTTCGTATTTCAATCTTATTCATAGCAATATGTTTTACATTATCTATTGACTTGCACACTAATGTAGAATTTTATGTAACTAATATTTTTATTGGTGGACTATAAAATTTTATTATTTATCAACAAAAGTGTGCGATGGCCGGGAATCGAACCCGGATCAACTGCTTGGAAGGCAACTATGCTGACCATTACACCACCATCGCCCTTACTGTCGTTTGATAAAGAGTCTATTGCTAAAATAACTCACCAGGTCTATCCTGAATTTCCATAGCAGCAGCAAGAAGTGTGCATGCACTCTCAACACTCAGTGTGGACGTGACGTGGTCCTCGCAAGCTGCACGCAGATCTTCAACGCCCAAGTCAGCGGCTAGCGTCATCATTTCGAATACCCCGGAGTCTTGCAGCAGAAGCTAGGAAATTTTGTATCAAAACTTAAATACCTGCCGTTTAGTGATTTTTTTTTCAATTTCATAATTTATATACCTAACAAAATTTTTAGTTACTTAATGTAAAAAAGCGTCATCTATTGTCAAAGGCTTGAAATTGTTTACTCAGAGTGTAGCTTTGTTGAACAATAATGCTAATAGGTGGCGGTGTATTAAAATAATTTATAGATTATATTGTGTTGAAATAAATTGTAGATGGCAGCACATAAAAAGGTTAAATGAAATTAATTTTGTTTTAAAAATAGAGATAAATAAAAATAAGCCGTAAATTAAATTTAAAATGCTCGATTTGACATACCTTGCCCGTATAGACGTATTGAATGAAAAGCCGGAAAGTTTCAGGCTGCACGTGCGGCATACGGATGGGCGTCGGTTGAGTGCCGACAGATGGCGATACGGTGCATCCAGGAATTCGACAAATTTCTCCGCGTTTCGTGTTTTGAAAACTTTTACACCTGTATTTGAATAATAATTATTATGATAATATTTTTAATATGGCAGTCCCGAGCTACGAGTCTTTTTCCAGAAAAGTTTGTGGAAATATGTAGAGGCCCTTGGTGCTTGCATTCTAGAGGACTCTTCTGTTTTGCTGCGCTGTCTGTACGGAAACATTATGATGTCAAAGGATGAACGACGCCCGGCAGTAATTAAAAACCAATAATCTCCCGATGAATTTACAAGTGCTCTCTTTGAGAACTTTGTCGGCCAACTTTATTCGAATTAATTTAAAATGTTTGTTTTGGAAAGAAGCAATAGATTTTATTTCTTTAATCACGCCAAATGCCGCTTTTAAAGTGAAACACAGCGCGTTGGCTTTGCATCGTACTTATATATATAATATGATGAACAATATGCAATTTTTTTTAATTAGTAGGAATTTTTTTGTAAAATTATTAAGCAATTTCGAAATACCCAAAGAAGTTTAAACTAAACACCTGTTCATTGTAAACTTATATAGACCAAGTTGCTTAGTAGGAGCCCTACAATATTGCAGTGAGAGGAGTTGTAAGTAGTACGTGGAGTTCTGCGCCATATAGTGCCGCCTAAATATATTAAACTCTAACCGCCGATACATTCCTAAATTCCTTCCCATTTGGTATGCAAATGTGTTTTTAAAGAATGCTTAATAACTGGTATCTTGTGCTTAAGCGGTTAGTTTTCGAAAAGCAGAAAAATGGGGATAGAAAACGCCACTGAAGTGAGTCTCTCTGATATTTACTGGACCTTTACGTAATATGTGAATAACTTATCGGTAAATATAAGTCGACAGCGTCGCTTACATTGTTTGATATATATATAATACATATAATAAGGCGGAATATTGAAAGATGTCGCCGCGGGCGCCGGTCGTCGGGCGCGGTATCCAATAAGGCGGTGGGTCGCGGCGCCGGCGGTCAATATCATAGTTCACAGGACGTGGACAATATTTGTCCGAAGGAAAAGGGTCTCAATATCGCCGCCGTGGCCGCGGGCTGCGCTCCTCATCGGCTATGTCCTTTGTCGCCGATATCTTGCACTCGATTATTAAATGCTTCTTACTTTTCCTTAAAGATACCTTGATTTAATTTTAGAAATTGAAAAGTTTCCTTCAACGTTTCTTAAATATGTACAGTGTGTGTTAATTTCCTGGTTGGTAACACTGTACAATGGGTTAGAGCTGCAGATATTCGGGCGACTATGCCCTACATTTTGACAATGCTATTAATCAATGTTAGGAGCAAAATGTAATTAATTCGCAGGCGACGCCTCATCTCGTCCGATTGCGCGGGAAAATTTGAGCAAGATCATTAATCTTAGGCGGCTGTTGCCTCCGATACTGATTTGGTATTGTAATCGCTGTAGGCTGTACGTAACTTACACTATAGCAAAATTGATTTTATGTTTTACCAATATTGTGTTGTACATCATTGGGCTCTGATCCGATGTTGCAGGAAGGTAAAGTGTTATAGATATTCTCTGTAAATGTTTGACAACATCAGCATCAGCCTCTTTCTTTTCATTGTCATTATAAGATTGTAAAGTATTGCAAAGTATTATATTAAGGCAATTTAATAACTTGTAATAGAATTTGAAATGTTACGATTCTGTCAAGAAATATGAAATATGACCTGTGTAATTTGGTTAAAAATATGTAAACGAAGTGGTACGGAGAAGCTCAAACACAATTTGTATCGTAGCTGTGGAGCGGGGGAGTGCGGACGGGGCGGGGGTCGCGGCCGCCATGATGGATGGAGTTCGCCAGCTGACAGCACGCAAGTGTCGCCTGTGATTAATATTGATTGTGCTCACTGCTATTTTTAAATTGTCCTTTAAATATTAACTTGATCAGACTGAGGTGTTTTGCTAATATCGCCTTTGGGCAGATGGTATCTACAATTAGTGAATATAAAACCTTTTATAGACTTATAGAGTTAACCTGTCCAATTTATCTAAAAAAATTAAAATAATTAGCATAGAAAGTTGTGTTAATTAATTTGTTTATTCACATTATATACTTTGAGGCATATGTTGGTGCGTTGACGTCAGAGCGCGTTGTCAACGTCAGTTGGAGTGATGTGGGGTGTGTGCGCGGTGTGTGCGGGGGGGGGGGTGCAGTGGCGTGCGGCGTGCGACCGCACCATCAATCATGGCCGCCGCCGCCGCCCGCTGCCGCTGCACCAAATTATGTTTGAGCTTCTTTGAGCGATCACGTTTAGCGTTTACACAACTTGATTGATAAACAAGCTTTTCTACTTACATTGATTTTCTTTTAACTTAATTAAAATACATAATTTATAACTATAATAGACTAACGTGTTGCTGATTGTGAGATACGTTTCTACTACGTTTTGTAGACGCGTCTTGAAACTGAACATCTCAGTAGACCTGAAGAAAAAATCATACAAGTCTATTGGACTTAACTGGAAAAAGTGGTGCAAAGATCTATGAGGAATTATGACTTGTCTACTACGATTTATGAAGTTTCGAAAAATATTTATATTAAAAAAATAAAACATGAGTTCGACCTAATCTAACGTTTGATGTCGTCAGGTGACACGTCACAGACTTTGTGGTAAATATTCCTGTTCTCATTAAGAAATTGCTGCGCGCGATGAGCGACACCGCCATCTTACGATTTCCTACAAACGCTACGTATAACTTCGATAATTCTACATTTTGTATTCGCAACAATTAGCAAATTAAGAAAAATGTTATTCTCTTAGATCTTTTCAGCGCGTTAAATATATTTTATATATTTGACAAAGAAGTATTTTTGTCAATAGCTCATGATATAAAATACTACAGAAACAGACATAATAAAGTTGTATGCCGGTTGTCGACAGAGGGCGACGGCAATTCAGCGCTATTCTGCCGTCGCTTCAGTCCTCAGCAAATTACAGACATCACGCCCATCATGTAATGATACTGCTGAGACGGACCACTCTGACAATACCAACACAAGTCTACTGACTGTGTAATGATTACTTATATACATAAGTGATTAAGGTCTAATTGTAAAAAAAAGCAATGTTTTTTTACCAACATAAGTAACTACACAATTTCTTAACATCCAATGTTGTAAAGAAGAGGTACGAATGGGCTATTCTTGGTTGAATTCCTTAGTTTTTAGTCGTTTGAATTCTGCGTTATTAAACTGTTTTTATTATTTAAACGTTCGTTACAACAAAAACAATTTTCAATGAAAATTATTCGTAACAATGGTAGCGGTAGCGCATGTATACAGTTTTCAATTAATGTTGCGACTGACAAAAACAATGGCAGCAGCTCCTGTCACACTCCAAACTAGAGCGAAGCGGAACTGAAAATAATTACACTTTCAGAAATGGAAATATGTTGTGGAGCAAAAAGAAGGTAACCAGAAGTCGCTCGGCCGCCGCGCAGCGCCGCACCGCGCCGCGCCGCGCTCTGCCTGCCGGGTGCACGCAGTCGTCGGCAAACGAGAAAAGTTCCAGAGTTTCGAGTGTCGACATTCACACGACACGACTATACGACACATTGTTTTTAAAAGTGCAGGTGTAGGTGTTTTGCTTTTATTTAAATACAAATAATATAAATAAATAAATATTTTTTAAAACAAAATTTATCGTTGACTATGTTCTGATTCGCGTTCACGTTTAAAATCGGCAAATATCCGGCTCCAAGATTCGCTTCTGAGTTAACCTTGTCTTAAACTTGTTGGCTGCTGAGGAACGTTACTTCCACTCATGTGTCCAACACATATTTAATTAAATTGCTATTAATATTTATGGTCGAAGGAAAATTAATTAAAGTTTGCATAAGAAAATTATAATTGCATCTGCTTTGCCAGAATATGATGAATGTAGTATTGTTTCCCTGTGAACACAAACTTAAACAAAACATTGCAATCTCAGGCATAGTATAATCGGTGACAGCAACAGTGGCGCCGCGACGCCGACAACATGCAACAATTCCAATTCAATTACAACACTCATTGTGTAACAACAGAGAACCGATGTCGCAAAAAGCCCGCGAAAACACGTAGCATTGCGCGCGAGAATTTCTTAATGACTACCTTATATTATCCTCCAGAAATCTAAGTATTTGCATTAAAGCGCTTACTATTTTATACAATTATATTTATATGTTTAGCTTTTCGTATAGTAAGTTCGCATATTTTAGATTCACTTCACATTAATACATGTGCAATCTCTGAGACGGAATTTAAACAATGGTAGAGCTCCTAACAACGACATCTGTTGTCCGATGGTCGGTTTAACCATTGAAGTAATAAGACCGGCGAGAAACAGGCATGCATGTGAGGGATAAAAAATAAAATATCCTGTCTTGGTCCTTTCCTTTCGTTTTACTTTTGAACATATGAAATTTATATGAATGATGTTTTAAAAGACGTGAAAGTCTTTTTCGTATTTTTTAACAAATTGTGGTAAGTTCGCACAACCCTGTTGGTGTTACGGCAGTGAAATCTCACGGTTGGACACAAAAAAAGAAAACCCGTCGTCTGAACCATTTGCATGGAAATAGAAGAAAGTTTCACGCAACATATGCTGTGGAAGCGAAGCTGACAGTGCGAAAAAACGAACTCGACCGAACTCCACAAGTTATGCCGAGAGTTGGCCAGACGAACTCCCAATGGTTTCAAATTTACTGAATTATTATAAAGCACCGGAAAGCACTCTGACGATATGATGAGCGATAATCAATGTTAAACTTTGGGTTTTTGAGACCAAAATATCAGTTTTAAACATATTGCTATCTCTGTTTATCAAAGATTATGACAAAGATAACAATATGTTTTAGACGGAGATTTTGATCTCAGAAGCCCACGGTTAGTAATGTCATATCCGTTAATGATTTGTGTTGTGTTGTGCGTATAGTAAATATAAAATGGGAATGAAGGCTACGCTGAAGTGAATTTTTAGCGGTAATTCGAAGTGAGGAAATAAAGGTAAACAATACAGTATCAGCTGTATGCGGGGCGGCGGAGGGGAAGGGGGGGGGCGTTTGTCGCAGCTGATTGATGCGTGAATTTGCGCCGCTTCACATCTTTCCCGCCATTAATCTCTGGCGCGGCGATAAGCGCGCCTTCAAAAAACTTATTATACTCTACGTTGTTTCATTAATTATTTCCAAGTTTTATAAGTAATGTTCCAGTTGCCACGTTTTTCTGAATTTGAGTTTTTAAATCAAACATCATTAGTGACCAAATATAACAAGTTTGCTAAAAGATTTCCCAGAGACATTATAATAGGAATAAGCGCCATCTAGTAAACGTAATTAATAACATTATGCAAACTGCGCCAATAGATATCGCTAGTAGCTTCGCGTGAGTTTGAGCGAAATAAGTTTAAAAGTTAAAAACTTGCGTTAAAATTAGAATTTATGATGTAACGATGAATATTAATTCACAAATTACTCCTTTTACGCCATCAGAAACTCGAGTCCTGCTTCATTGGGTAATTATGGGGATTTAACGCACAGGCGTTAAAATGATAATTTGCATTTGAAAAGTCCGCCAAGTTAAATTTATGTGCATTTATGAAACGTATTACTCTTAGCTCTTTGCTGAAGTTTCTAAGCGAATAGCTAATTGTAAGTGGATTAAGAAATATGCAAGAATTTGGGAAAATTATAAATACATAACTTAATTTTAAAATAGCTTTAATCTATGTCAAAGAAGTTAGCATTTCGCCCCTTTTAATTAAATTAACGACTAAATGCTTTCATCTTTTGTTTGAAATTGTAAACAAAAGTGCTGATGACATTGCTTATATTTTTTGATAGAAACCAACAACTCCCGTATGGTCTAGTGGCTAGGATACCTGGCTTTCACCCAGGAGGCTCGGGTTCGATTCCCGGTACGGGAAAACACTTTTTGTTTTTTTTTTTAATTTTTAAAAATATCCCAGATCGTATAATCCAAAACAGTTTTACTTGTATCATGACTGACACAAAATAACCGTTCAATCACGAAATTAATATTTTACTTACCTTGCAAACAAGATTATTCTATGAGCATAAACTTTTTCCTCGGCGGTGCCCAGTATAAAGACGACATCCGCGGAGTCCTGGTCCTCGGCGAGGCGCAGCAGGTCGCGCAGCAGGCCCGGCAGCCCCGCGCGCTCCACCGACGCCGCGCAGCACGCGCCAGCCACCCGGCTGCCCAGCGCCGCCATCGTCACACAACACACCGGCGATTTACAAGTTTCTTCGATTCAAAATACCAGCATTGACTCCGCTTGTAGAAAACGCCGTTATTCAAGTAACGAAACTATGTAAACATGTATAGAATTTGAATAATCACTTAAACTAAACTAAAACTATCAAAATATATGTGCTCCGAAGCAGCTTAGTTCACTAAAACTTTAATTCACTTCTCAAATAATTGAGACGCCAAATAAATGCCGCTTTTGTAAGCTTAGCGGTCAACATATAAACATAACCTCAAACTCGAACGACAGCTTTGCACTGAAATAACTCGAAAACAACACAAGACGTTTTTCTACAACCGTGTTGTATAGATTCTTCTGAGATTTAAAAGGCTTTATGTGTTATTTCTTAACACGGCATTTCTGTGTCTTTAGCTCCGGATCGGTCGTAAAGGTTCAAAACAGGTTTGTTTTGCTTCTCAGGTAAAATGGGTTTAGCAATACATCTTTCCTTGTCTTGCACGTTGTGATAATACTCCTTATTTCCAATTTGTAATTTTCGAAGTGACATGCACGTGCCTCCGTGGCGCAATTGGCTAGCGCGTTCGGCTGTTAACCGAAAGGTTGGTGGTTCGAGCCCACCCGGGGGCGAGTCTTTTTGTCAAAGATGCTTAAATGTAACCCACTACCGTAATACGAACGTTCTCGTTTTAGTTCAATTATGTTTTTGTATTGAAAAGTTAACACTGGTTGAATTGCGTCATTTTGTTTTTGTTATATTTCATTGTGCTGGTTAATGTACAATATAATTCATCCGTGCGTCTAAATAAATGATGATTAATTTGTTTATATTGAATCTTGATGCAGTGCTTTAGCCTTAAAGTGCCCACATGTCGGCAAATCGTGCCGCGTTACATTTATATACACATTCTGAGATGGGAATGTTATTTTGTTTTTATTTGTTTAATACAACTAAATAAAATTATTATATAATAATGTGTAATTTATTACAATTTGCCGATAAAGTTTCTTCCGTCTAGAAACAACATTACAATGTTTCTGGTAAGCAATTCGTAAATTAGACGGACGGAAGTGTTCAGCGCTGACTGACAGTTCGGAAATTGGCGGCCGTCCGCTGTCAGCGCACAACCAGCAGACTCAGCGCAGCGTTAAAAACAAAATGCAGAAAAAATGGCTGATTTTTAAAGGTTTTGATTCACAAAATAGATAAAAAATATTAGTTTACTGTATTATTGTAAAGAAATTAGTACCTATTTCATCTACATATAACATATCTATTTTTCTATTTAATTCATAAAATTTCACCATCGCAAAGACCAGCAACGCGTCTGCAGTTCCTCTGGTATTGCTGATGTCCATGGGCGTCGCTGAACACCTCGGTGTTCCCGCTTCTGTTATAAAAAAAACCTAAATGGCGACGATCAAGCAACAGTTTATCTGATGTAATGACAAGCATGTTAGATACGCAAAGCAATAACTATTTTTATTGGTCACTTCTAATACATACATATAACGAAAAAAAACATTCAATATATCTTGGTAACGCAGACGATAAAAACGATTGGAGCAAGAAACGGTGTTAGGCGAGAATTAACTGCTTTTAGAACTGTAACACAATCGACAATCATAATTTAGTCGGTGTGTTTATTTGTTCAGATGTATTTATTGGCGGGTAACGGCCTCGTCGACAGCAATATCGCCCGCCGGCCGCCCCCCGCACCCCCCGCACCCCCTGTCTTCACTATGCTTGTCTATGCTCATGTTCAGTATCGGCTGGAATGGAACATAGAGAAATTAGGAGCACAATAATTCTTGGCTTTGTTTTCATGGAGGGGAACCATCAATTATGATTGCATCTTATATATAACGCAAATTGGAACGATTTTTTTCCAGTCTAGAATAGAAATCGTTTCATTCTATTGTATAGTAGTTTGGTGCCAGGAGCCAGGGAATCGAGTATCTGGGTATCTTCCGGGGATGCTTAGCACCCTCCCTCCGTTACGCGGATTGTTTTAGTCCCTAGGATAAATTATATTGCCTCACTTATTTTGTTGTTAGTTGCTGCGCACATTAAATCTCATTATAAATCACGTTTATCGCTGAATAGTTGACTATTCTGTATTTCAGTCTAAGTCCTGATTTCTGTGCGGCAAGATGTTGTCTCCCTCATCTCATTCTGTTCTAGGACAATCTAAACTGACTGCTTGATGTACAGATGCTGGCTGGTTGATTGCTGTATTTTTATTGGAGTATATTTATGAGTTTCAAGGTTATTTGTCTGCCGGTGTTTTGGGGGTAAGGGAGGGGAGGGCGGTAGGTCTGAAGTGAATTATAGTGTAAGCACGCTGCCGCCGCCGCCTCCGCCGATGAGCTGCAGCTGGGCAACACCATTCCCAACATTGTTTTGATTTTGTACAATTTATAACATAATTTAATGGTTGTACATAAATTAACATCAATGTATGTACAGAGTGCGCATTGATAAGGCAAGTTAATTAGGTGAATATGTTTATACTAACAATATATAAAAGATAACAAGAAGCAGATCTAACTCAATTCACTATATAATTTCCTATTTGTTTGGTTATTATGTGAACACACTTCCACAGTCAATTTGCTAAGAAATCGTTTATTTCGTTCTCAACATTGAAAAACGGAAATACGTTGTTACACAAAATGTATTTGTTATCACAAAGCTGGCGATTTTAAATTCGTTGTGTAAATAGCGCTGATTAAATCAATCAGTGTCAGAGCCCGGTGCGTCTCTAGGTACAGTAGACTTCGTTTGTGGTGTCCGCTTAAGTGGCAATAGCAGCGAAACGGTAAAGATGTCTAGTAGATAACTACGACCTTCTGATGTAAAAAATGTAACAATAGCTATACAATAGTCAGAGATACATTGAATATATCTCGTCAACTATTTATCTGAATAAACATCGACACTGATCTCCATTGGGCCAGCGTGGTTGACTAAGTTCTAGTCACCAAAACAAAGGGTAGGCTCGAGCCTCTCGGTGAGGACATTTATGGGTTGAAGACGATGAAACTTTTATAGCAACCTTGTATTATAATTGTTTATTTGTGGAAAGAAACAGAGTATTAGTTTGTTACAATATGCAAGACAATTTTCGTAACTATAAGACTGCGTGCGAAGGCGATTGTACATCTTTATACGATATACAGCCGATGTGTTTGCTCATGATAATTCCAGTACTCAATAGAAGGATTATTTCCTTTCTGGCGACGTATCGCCGTGTTTACTTACACGTGTACTTTTTGATAAGGGCACAGATTGGAGGTATGTATGTCTGTCTGTGCGTATCATTTATATTTGTTTAGCGCATGTCGTTGTACCGGACATGAACTAGAATCATATTATGTTGTATAATATCGATGATTTAAATGTGGATTTGGATAAGTTACATAATATGTATATCGTCGATAAACTGCATAATTACTAAACAGAACATTGCAAATCTTTTGTCACAATTTTATAGCAAGTTTGTTCCTAGTTTTTGTGTGTAATGATAAATATTTTTTCTATATTTATTTAAATCTGTATTAATTTTATGTTTTCACAAAATTAAGATTCATTAACGTATTTTTTAAGATAAAACAATTTACAAATGAAGTACATAGCCAACTTTAAAATGAGAAATAGATAATAAAGCTATATTTGATGTTTGAATCTTATATATTTATGTGAGAATGTAGTAATGACTTGTGAATTCAATAAGTAGCTGTTGTAGTGCGAGGCGATAGATAAGACGTCGCGCCGCGTAACTTATCACATTGAAGTGATAAGATATGGTCGGCTGTAAATCATACATCGTTGTTAGCAAACATTTCTATCATTAAACACGTGTAACAATAATAACTGTTCAATCGATAATAATCCCTGTTCTGAGCTACCTAATATGTCCTAAATAACAACATTTCCTACACAAAATGTGATATTGATCTACATTTAAGTACTTTTGATACAGTTAATACGATTTCTTAGTTGAATAACATCTAGATTTTTGCTGGTTGACCTTTATGTAATGAAGATAATTAACTGGCTGTATGTTTGCATATGTCATAAACTAGCTTATATAAAACTTAATGAGTAAGACCCTATGTGTTCTTCCACAATATGTTCTGAACATCTATGCCAAATTTCAGAGATATCTGTTTATCGGTTCCGAAGATACCTACAAACAACATCCATCCATCTAAACTTTTGGTTTTATAATATTAGTAAGATTAAAACCGAAGCGATTAACTTAAGAAATACAGAATTTGCACCAACTTGTATGCAGTCAGTACACAATGTTTTCTGTTTTGTAAAACAAACAAATGAACTCTAGTTGTTAACAGTCAACATCTTTTTAAGAAACCTTAAATAAAAGGGGGATTATTGGCTGCGCGACCTCTTTCGTTGCCGCTGTCGCCCGTCACAAAGGCAGCAGTTGCAACTTTGCAAAACGCAGTGACACGGCGCGACACAGTGCGACACGGCGGCACTCGCGATCGCGACTCACGACGCTTACACACTTCAGCGTGTCCTGGCTTACCTTGTACACAGCACAGCACACTCTAACAGAAGTGACAGATATTTTAAAGTGAAACCTAGCCTAATTTAACGAACCTAGTGTTCTATAACTAGGTAGGGTATCACTCTAAAAGTACCAATTGTGTCAATCAGTTAATGACAAGTATTTGAAATTTTCGTCTCATTTTCTTATAAGTATCGTTGTCATACTAACTAAAGTATGACAACGACTGATAACTGACCACTGTCGCAAGCTGAGTGGTAAACACACTTTAAACCTATACTTTATTGTCATAAAATTATTAGTTTGTAATTCTTTCAGGAATTAGACGGTAAAAAATTGATGTCAGCTCTAGAAATTGCTGCGCCGTGTGCAGTCTCACGAGTTGCGCCCTCTTCCCTTTGAGGCGCAGATCAAAGCACACGCGCTTCTATTAGCCCTGATTACAGCGCGCACTCGGCCTTCGCCCCCGGCGCCCCGCTCCGCGCCCTGCCGCCCGCAACCCGCAGCCCGCATTGTCTCCGGCCTTCGCCGCGGCAAGAAGCTGTAGTGTCATCGGCAGTTTAATTAGCCATCCTGTCACATAGTGCGCCGCGCCCGAGAGCCCGAGCCGCGCCCGAGCGCCTGACACTCACTATCGCTAACTACTGCTTCGCGGATTTTTTTAAAATCCCGCCATCGGGCCTCGAGGAGGCTTGTTTTTGCATAACAAAGCTTTGACTTAATTAATCGTTCACGTTTGAGGGCATCTACTGATGTTTTCGAGTTTTCCTTTTGTGTACAAAAGTCTGTGTGTAGCGGTATATATGTACATAACCTCGGGTCTGTACAACTCAAACTTACATACTTGTCAGTCGTCAAGGATACTCCTTCATTGAGGATTTCTATAAAGCGTAGAAT